CACACACACACACACACACACACACACCCTGAAGCTCCTATTTTTTTGTAATTACCTGTGAGAGATTGGAAAAATGTCTTCACATTTGTTACATCTCACCTAACAGAGAAGTTATTGTTGTGTTTAGGTTACAATGGGAGAGTGAGTGAGGCTGAAAGGATGAGTCTGACACCACTGTCCCAAATATATAATTCATTTGGCAATCTGCGCCTAAAATAAGCTAGTTTATTAAGTTATTACTGTTCGAGCTTTGGTTTCTTTCAGAACTAAAAGCCAAAATTACACTGATGCTTCAAGAGTGAAATGAGCTTAGATGTGATGAAGTAAATGTTTAGTTCAGGTATGAATCATAAGACTCTTCTTTAGTGTCACCTGAAAAATACCAGATACTGAAGAATAACTGATTTCAGGGAAGAGATCAGACATTTAAGTGGGCCACAGTCCAATGTTATAAATGACTGAGGAAGCAGCTTTGACAGTCAAACAGGGACCTCTGCTGGACGATGATCAAACCATGTTTCATTTTATCCAAATTTATATATTTGATGGTCCTTTTGCTGATATTAAGACACCATTATCAAAACACATTTGTATTGAAAATGTATATAATATCATATAACTTCAAAATTAAAAATATGCACTACCATGTTTTTATTTTGAAGAACATATTTTTATTTAATGTGGATATGTTTTTGGTCCAATTAAAAAAAACTGTAATCAATGTTTGAACCAATATTTGTAACAAAAATAAGTCAAATTTCTACCTTTTTGAAAACCTCTGCTCGCAATCTGTTGGTCTGTGATACAGCCCTCCTTTTCTCCTCCTCCTTTTTCTTTGTCACCTCTGGCAGCTTGTTGTAAATCCTACAGGCATAGAAATAAAAGGCAAATTCACACAGGGCAGGGGAATATGGTCTGGGAAGTGTGAGGGTGGCTGCAGCTATGCCAACAGATTGGCATACGAGAGACAAGGCATTATCTGGTGAGACCACAGCTGGCAAAGACCTGGATCCACTGATAAACAAGTCTCACACAGACTCCTTTTTTCAGTCCCCCGACCGCAGCCAATTTGTCAAGAGATCCTCCGAGTCAGATAGTGTCGCTTTTGAAAAAAAATAAATTACAATGGGCAGCAATCATCTGATCAGGTGTGCCTTTCCAGATAAGAGAAGAAGAAAAAGAAAAAAGAGAGAGATAAGGTACACAGAGGGTGGCTCATATCTCTTCTCAGGACTTGCAGGGATCAAACTTGTATTGTGTCCACACAGTACGCTGCTGTGTGCATGTTGGTTTTTGATATTTATGCACACAGCTTCATGCTCGGCAGATGTGACAAACAAGCGTGATTGATTGTGCTAAATAGAGAAAACAACAAAGAGCAAAGAGAGACGGAGTGATATGATCTCGGTCTGGAGAACTCACCGTCTGGACCTCAGCTGCATCTCTCTGCCTGATATAGACCTCTCTCTGGGCCTGAAAAGGTTATCTAGGACACACACACACACACACACACACACACACACACACA